GGATTGAGTGAGGTGACCCAAGAATGTGTGCCATTATTATTATTATTATTATTATTATTATTATTGAGGTGTTTCTGGACTTTGAGTCCCTGCCTTAAACAGCAGTATCCACTGCATGTGGGGATATGCCAGTGAGCAGAGAGCTCCAGATCACCGAATGTCAAGTGACAGAACACTTAACTGTACAGCAACGTATGTCCTTCCAGAATGACCTACGCTGAACTCCCCCACCTTCTGCCAGAGAACTAAGGCACCACTGCCTGTTTATTACAGTCAGTTAGTTGATGACGCAGCTGTCCTGGAGGAGGTAGAGTCAGTGTCCTCGTCCTGTGTCCTGTGGCGTGAGCGAGGCTAAGATGTGGTGGATTTAATGCGCTAACGCTCAGGCTGTGGCGGGCTGCCAGCAGAGCACTTAGCACGGCCCCCCCTCCGCTCCCATCTGTCTTCACTCCAATGGACGCTTAATGCCACTGCATGCTAACAGGCAAAGAGCATAGGATGTGAGAACACCCAAAACACAGGGGCGAGAAGAACAACCAAACAGAACCTGTCTCACGAGACCACTTTGCCTCCTCGGTCCATCCGCCCACAGATCTACCCAGAGTAGCTCATTTTGTCCCACCAAAGGGCAAACTATGAAGATCTCCCCATGCCCCACCTACCCCCACAGAAGGTTAAGAAGAGTTCTTTCCGTACTTAATCAAATTCATACACTGTGATTCTCCACAAACGGCCACCTGCAGGCATGGGCTCTGACAGCCCTCCAGCTTCCAAATCCTCAGGATCTGGTGATAAATTCTGCAAAGACTGGTGCTGTCCTGTCCTCAGAGTGTCAGGAACCTACCGGTGTTTGGCTGGGGATTGGAAACGTTTCTAGAGGCCCAACAGAATCAGAGAAAACAACCCATCCCACGTTACATAATCGGGCCAGGAAAACATGTTTCATATTAGCGAGGCAGCCAGCAATTTCCTAGGACTCAGACAGAGGTCTGGGTTGTTCCTTTGGCTCTGGACCTGTTCAGAATGACAGTATTTTAACCTCTCTGTATCTCCTCATCTGTGAGCCCGGACACATGAAGCTGCCCCCTCTGTCCTTAACATGCTGCTTTGTATACTGTACCCTGTCTTCCACTCTGGAGACGATGAATACATATCAAAGCCCGAGAATTATTATGCGTCTCAGAGAGGCTGGGAAGATCAATAAGATGTTTCAACACAAAGAGGAAATGAAAATGAAGAGATATCAAGGTCCTCAGAAGCAGACCAGATCCATACAAAAGTACAACAGAACCAGCTGTACAATCAAAAAGGCAGTCCCCTTAGACTGTGACACCCGGCTGCATGCTCTGTGAATGCAGATTCCCAGCTGCCCGCCAAGCGATGCCCCAGCCCACCCGTCGTCCCCCTGGCAGGACTGCTCACCTCCCTCCCTGTGCTCCCTTAGCATACTTCACCGTAATACAGGGGGAAAAGGCTGCTGGGGGCAGAACTGCATCCTGTTCATGGGCTGCGGAGGCAGACAGGCCTGGGTTCAAATTCTGGCTCCCCCACTTGACCTCCAGAAAGCGATTCAACCTCTCTCGGCCTGTTTCTTCACCTGGGATGTAGAGGTAAGAATACCTCTGTCACAGGATGGTCACCAGGGTTAAATGACTATGTATGGGCAATACTCCCCAATGTCTGGCGCACGGTCAGTGCCCAGCAGAATTCTGTTGGACGGAGGGTGGGTAAGCAGCAGTGCTGACTTCTTCCATGTGGTCTCACAGGCCCCTGACCTTTGAAGGGCCTCCCTGTTTGGTTGATACTCTGTTGACAGTGTACTGCAATTCCTAATTTTTGAGTATGGGTGCCATATTTTTGTTTGTCACTGGGCCCCACAAATCACAAAGCTGGTCCTGCTGAGCAGCCCCCCGGAGGCCAGCTGTGGCTCTCCGGGCATCTTTGCCACCCTATAAAGTTATAAGGCAAAACCCACATGACCCCACATTTGGGTTTGGTACTTTGGGCAAAGATACTACATTTGGAACAAAATCAAAGAGAATATTTTGTACTAAACTCCACATCATTTTATGACAAGCTTCTAGGTATTGGTTTAAAAAAAAAAAAAAAGCAGCCTCACCACTGGGGAGAAAGGTCCTTCCCGACTCCCACCATTTCCTTCCTCATGGAGAGAGGGTGGTGATTCTGCCCTCCCTCAGCCCCCTCTTCCCTCTGCCCAGGATAGGCAGAGCCATTATCAATAATCAATTTAGTACACTTGGGAGCAACAAACTGGGCATGCTCAGCTCTGCTCCCCACTTTCTCCTCTTCCTGGGCAGGAGAAGGTAGAGTCTGTCCTAGGCCAGCCAGCTGTGACAAGGGAAGTGGGTCTCCTTCCTGGGCGCGACAGTAGGAAACCCATTTGGCTCTCACACCGCACCACACCCTTCAACTAGCCTTGCTTGGTAACAGCAGTGATATATATGCTGGCTTTCAGTTACTATTCCACTGTCTCACTCCTCAACTTGTTCAGTTCTTGAGTGGGAAGAGGGTTGCTATTTAATGGATATCCTCAACGACCCCAACAACCAGACAAGCCCTGCCAGCCATCTTTGTGACTTAGGACAAGATTTAATTAAAATGCCTCATTAAAAACCTGGGTTGCCTGGGTGGCGCAGACAGTTAAGCGATCAACTTCGGCTCAGGTCACGATCTCGTAGTTTGGGGGTTTGAGCCCTACATCATCAGGCTCTGTGCTGACAGCTCAGAGCCTGGAGCCTGCTTTGGATTCTGTGCCTTACTCTCTCTCTCTGCTTCTGCCCCTCTCATGTGCGCTGCTCTCTCTCTCAAAAATAAATAAATATTAAAAAAAATTTTTTTAAATGCCTCATTAAAAGCTTAAATTATAGTGAGGAAGTGGACACAGGAGAGAAGCTTATATTCATGGCATCTCCAAGCTGAAAGACACCAAGATAATTTACTACAGACTCCTTGGTTCAAGAAGGAGAAAATCCAAAGAAGTTAAAAGGCTGGTACATTGGTTCTGAAATGATAATGTACATCAGGATCATCTGGAGAGCCTGTTAAAACACAGACTGCTTGGGTCCACCCCTGAGTTTTGGTTTCAGTCGATCTGGGGGTGAGGCCCAAGAAAATGCATTTCTACCGAGTTCCTCTAGTGATGCTAATCCTGCCAGTCCAGGAACCCTACTCTGAGAACCACTGGGCTGGCTTCAAATGAGTGAGCCTGTTATAACAGATCAGGGACCAGGATCCAGATGTCCTGCATTCTAACTGAATGCCCTTTCTGATCTGTCCTCTCGTCTCATGGTTGCACCTTCCTCAGCCCTGGCTAGAAGTTCCCTTTGCACATTCCACGGGGGATGAACCAGCGCTCCTTGCCAAAATAACATCTATAATGAGCCTTGAGCTTCCTAGAAAAAAATGCTTTAACAATGCTAAGTATTTCTGGCACTAACACATATTATAAAAAAACACGAGAAAAGCATTTTTTAAAGAGTGTCTTATGAAGAAAATTTAATGCAGCGAAAGAGGAAAATACAATCGTGCTTAGGACCAAGAACACAAAAAGCTGGCCGATATTTTTCTGATCCTTCTATGGTGTTATCTAGGTCTCTGCTTATTTTGCTAAGAAAACTGCTCATACTCTCCCAGAGCACAGGGAGCAAAGCGTTTTTTCAAGTCCATCTTCAATGAGCTCTCTCTTATTGACCATGCAACCTGCACTATTGATCTAGAAATTACATTCCCATCTCAAAATACAGGCAAACAGGGCCAGAAGACCTGTTTCCAAACTCCACACCTCCATGGCCACCAACAGTCCCACATCCAAGTGACGACCACAGTCCTGCTCAACTGTCCCTTCATGTCAAACCCCTTCCGGGAAAATGCCACTAGTGCAGAAAGCTCAGCCACAGAACTGTGCAGAGATCTCCAATTACAAGGGGTTGGCTGGGCAACCGAATCCTCAGTGAGGTGCTCTGGGATTGCATCTAGACCAGAGCTGTCCAACAGAAATATGGAACTGAAGTTTTCTCAAAAGCAGCCACATTAAAAAGGTAAGAAGAAACAGGTAAATGTTAACAATATATTTTATTTACTCAATATCTCCAAAGTAGTATTATTTCAACATGTAACCAATATAAAAATATTAATGAGATGGTTTGCTTTTTTTTTTTTTTAGACCAAGTCTTTGAAATGGGCTCATTTTTACACTTACAGCATATTTCAATTTGGACTACCTGCATTTCCAATGCTCTATAGCCATATTGGACAGCACAAGACCAGAGCTTGGCCCAAACGGGCGTTTTGGAGCACGTTAGAAACCGTTTGGATAGAAAAGCAGCTCAGCTCAACGCAGAGCATCTGGGAGGAACAGACACAAACCATCCCACCTGAGTCCTCCTGGCTCTCTGTGGAATCCCACACTGTGCTACTAAAAGGCTTGCTTGTTGGTAGCAGCCATTCTTAAATTTTTTTTTATTGTTTATTTACTTTTGAGAGAGAGCAAGTGAGCATGAGCAGGGAAGGAGAGAGAGAGGGAGACACAGGATCCGAAGCAGGCTCCAGGCTCTGAGCTGTCAGCACAGAGCCCGACACGGGGCTCATACTCATGAGCAGTGAGATCATAACCTGAGGCAAAGTCAGACACTTAACCGACTGAGCCAGTCAGGCGTCCCTGTAGCAGGCATTCTTTTGGACTAAACTTTTTGTTTTTATTTTTCCAAGAACCTCTAATTTTAATACACCCATCCCCAAATCTACAGAGCTCAGGAATGCAGATATATGCATCATCATTTTATGAAAAATGGAATATCCCCATCCTCCCACTCCCCTTGAAGCCAGTGAGTAAACTGATTGCACGAATAAGCCTCACCATAAAGGATTCTCACTAAGACGTCGTCACAAAGACCCACAAACACACACATCACTCCATACCCACGTAGACCAAAAATGTACACACACGAAATTTATCCTCTACTTATGTTTATAAAACTTACCAGAATGTTGAGTTTCTTTTCCTGCTTGAAATTTTCAATAAATTCCCATATTTTCTTGGAATTAGACAAGGCCACGATGTGCAGAAAGATGTTCTAAACCAGAACACAAACAAACAAAAAGTTGTAAAGCTTTTTTTTTTAAAAAGATAGAAACCAGCATTTTTTAATTCAAAATACATGTACATGGTTTTAAAATAAAATAGTTTGGAAATACAAAACGGAAAGTAACAGTCTCACTCCTCGAAAGTAAACCGTTGCTCACCGTTTCTTATTAATCATCCAGAAATATTTTAAGCATGTATAGTAGTTATATACATATGTTTAAAGCATAATATAGACTACGTATATTAGGGGCACCTGGGTGGCTCAGTCGGTTAAATGTCCAGCTTAGGCTCAGGCCATGATCTTGTGGCTTGTGAGTTCAAGCCCTGCATTAGGCTCTGTGCTGACAGATGAGAACCTGGAGCCTGCTTCAGATTCTGTCTCCCTCTCTCTCTGCCCTTCCCTCCCCCCACTTGCACTCTGTCTCTCTCTCTCTCAAAAAATAAACATTAGGGGCGCCTGGGTGGCTTGGTCGGTTAAGCGTCCGACTTCGGCTCAGGTCATGATCTCACGGTCCGTGAGTTCGAGCCCCGCGTCGGGCTCTGTGCTGACAGCTCGGAGCCTGGAGCCTGTTTCAGATTCTGTGTCTCCCTCTCTCTCTCTGCCCCTCCCCTGTTCATGCTCTGTCTCTCTCTGTCTCAAAAATAGATAAACGTTAAAAAATAAAAAATAAACATTAAAAAATTTTTTAAATAAAAATAAATATATTATATATATTAAGCACGATACACATATTATAAATATATGCCCCCTTCCATACAAATAGGATCAGACTATGCCTTGCTCTGCATCCTTCTTTCTCACTTAAGGTTTGGAGATTTTTTTGTTACATATAAATCTGTCTTATTTCTTTTAATGGCTACATAACATACTTTGACATGGATGTGTTATAGTTTCCTCCTGCCAGTCATTTAGGAGTTTTTTGTCAATGTTTTGCTCTTACGACAATATCCAAGGTACATCATAACTATAAGATGACAACTTCCTTTGTTACTCGGTCCTTGGCTTATGATGTTTATCAATTTCCACGTTGTGCTATAGCCATTGCTGGACACAGCTCCCTCCCCCAGTAGACTCAGGACTTCTCGATGGAGGAGACATGTTGAATCACCCCCTTCCCTCGTGGGGGTACACACAGCCACACACATAAATGATTCATGTATGTGGGCTGTTCAGCCCCTTCTCTGTGCCCAGCACAGGAATCAAGCTTATATTCTGAGTATCCAGTGAATGCAAGGACATGCTGTCTGAGCCCCGGAAGGCATTTGTGACTTATCACCAGCCCAAGGCAGAGACTCCTGCTGCTTCAGAGACCTGACAACTGAACTGACAGGTGAGATACTGAGCAGCAGCCACAATTCCTTTCATAAAGCAGGGTTCGGTGCCTTGCCTCAATTTCCCCATTAATTAAGCCATAGAACCCAAGACCATAGTCAGAATTTCTTTCTACCGTTCTGAAAACATATCGTTTTCTCACTCTCTGAGACAGTCTTAGAAAATGAGAAGATGGAAACAATCCTACATTTTCATGCCTCAGAAGGTCTATAGTCAGCTTAACTATCATATTCAGCTCAAGTCTGACACAGCTGAATATTCCTCTACTTTCAAAGGCTAGGAAAAGCATGGTCTGTACAGGACTCTGCTCTTTGAAAAAGACTGTGGGGGTGTCTGGGTGGCTCAGTTGGATGAGTGTCCGACTTGATTTTGGCTCAGGTCATGATCCCAGGGTCGTGGGATCAAGCCCTGCACCATGCTCCTGCAGAGCATGGAGTCTTCTTGGGATTCTCTCTCTCTCTCTCTCTCTCTCTCTCTCTCTCTCTCTCTCTCCCTTTGCCCGTCCCCTGCTCTCTCTCTAATAAAAAATAAACATAAAAAATAAAAAAGGCTGTGAAGGCACTTGCTCAGCCACAGTGGACACAGGCTGCCTGCTGACTCCTTCCTGGATGGGCTGCGAGCACCCCCACTCCAATGACTACAAACTAAGTCTATAGACGCCCCGTCCTTTCTCTTGAGGTCCTCCCCACAACCACCCTAAAACTCCCTTCTACCCAATAGTGCCAAGTAACACTCGTACAAAATCCAGGTTCAAAAAACAACAAAATTCAAGTGAACGAAAATCAATTCCACTTTGAACATTCCACAACCTCCTTGAGCTTCCTGGAGGCACCTGGGGCATCCCAGCATCGGATGGAGGTAACAGCATGGAAGACAGAATCACTGTCCTAGATAAATCAGCCATGGGGCCCGCTGAAATGAAGCATCATGAAAAGATGGAAGGAAATCATCTGTCTCCCTCTGGGAGAAAATAGAAGGCCAGAAAGCACCCAGAAGGGAAGGCCAGGAGTCTGCTGTGACCAGCAGAAGGAGCTAGGAACAGACACAAGTGCGCAAAAACCACCAATCTGCTGATCTACATGTGTCAAGGCTGGCCCTAGGAGCCACTGGGCACTGCTGTGCTAACTCTTTAAAGCTCGGGATATAAGTGTGGTTGTTGAAGTTGAACAAAAGCCAACTGGATCCTTTCTGCTGATGAGTCACCATGTTCCATGGCCTAGGAGTCACGAGACGACATCACAGGAACCCCTCTACCCATGTGAGAGCGTGAGTCTGAGGAGCAAATGGGAAACAGGGCACGAATGTGCCCTCAGTAGAAATCACCGCATAGGAATGAGGTGCCAGTTAATATTCACGTCGGGTAGGCAGGAAGCTAAACCAATAATTCTCAAAAGGTTGAAATTCCACATTGACCTGGGAGATCTGGAGAGTAGAAACCCCCGTTTTACCTCTTAGTGTCCACATATTGTTGGGGTCGATCCCCACAAGACATAAGGCACATTTACAGCACCTTCTGGCCACATCAGGAATGTGGCAGGAGTTAAAATGTTGCCCCGACACCGCACCTCTGTAATCTTTCTCCTCAAAACCTGTAACTCCAGTCTAATCATGAGAAAAACATCAGACAAATCCTGATTGAGGGACAGTATACAAAATCCCTGACCTATACTTCTCAAAACCTTCAGGCTCATCAGAAACTAGAAGAGTCTGAGAAACCATCACAGCCAAGAGGAGACTAAGGAGGCACGATGACCAAATGCAATGTGGTCCTGGATGGGATCTGAGAACAGAAACGGGGCAGTAGGCAAGATCGAGGGAAAACTGAATAGCATATGGACTTCGGTTAATAATAAAGTACCCATATTGGTCCACCGGTTGTAACAAATGTAATAAATGTTAACGAAGGGGAAACTGGATGCGGGGTAAGTGGGAACTCTGTACTAGCTGTACAACTTTCCTGTGCATGTAAAATTATTCTAAAATATTAGACTATTCTAAGATTTTTAAAAAATGTTGCCCAAGGAGATCATGCCAGATCAAAGACAGACAGCAAGATGGTAATGAAGTGCAACAAGAAGCTGAGGAAGGAAGGTCCACTCTGATTTCCTCCCCCAGGCCCACTGGAGACATTGTGCCAGAAACAGCGGGCTGGCGGGCAGGGACTTCGTGTCAGTAAGCATTCGTTCCCTCCAGCAAGAGCACCACGGCAGGATGTTGACTTCTTTGCCGTCCACGCGTCTGACGGGACCAAGCCAGTGTGTACAGGCCACTGATGTGAACACGACCTCACACCTTCCTGGTGCCCACAGTCACCTGACCCGGCTGGCCTGAGGTGCACACGCTCAAGCCTTCCTGCTCAAGGGACCCCTGCACCCAACATGCAGCCGGGACCACTCCCTCCATACTCTCACTGCTCCACGGGCCTACACCCCGATTAAAGAGAAGTGGGTACCTTGGAGCAGAGAACGTAAGGGTGGGAGTGGTAACAGCATTAGTACGAAAACCACGGATAACGCAATAGTCTCCTGCTGACTGAGAGCTACATGCTCGATGACACCCTGCACTGCCCATGGCATGGCACACACAATGTCACATCCGTCCAACAGAAAACTTTCTCTCTTTTTAATGTTTTATTTATTTTTGAGAGAGAGAGAGAGCACTAGTGAGAGAGGGGAAGAGAGAGAGGGGCGAGGGGACTGAGGATCCAAAGTGGCCTCTGCACTGACAGCAGAGAGCCTGATGTGGGCTCGAACTCACGAACCATGAGATCATGAGCTGAGCTGAAGTCGGAAGCTCAACCGACTGAGCCACCCAGGCGTCCCCAGAAACCTCTTTCAACAGAGGGAGTTGAATGAAGGGACTGGTCCCCAGAGGAGGAAGGCGAGGGCTCAGCTGGGACCAGCCAACAGCCAAGGGATGACGAAGAGCAGGAAGCTACCAGCCTAGGCTGGAGGAACAGAGGAGGTGGTGTGGCCTGAGCCAGGCTCGCCACCAAAAGGAAGAACCTCAGAGCGGTCCGGCCGTTGCCAGGGAAGTCGAATGTCCTGCTTCTCCCTTCTTCCCACCCACCGATCTTCCTCAATGGCCAAACCCGGCCAGCAGCTGGCTGATGTGAAGGCGGGAGAAACACGTACTTGGGGGGTCCGCGCATCTACTCCCCGCCTGCCCCCTCTGTGCTGCGGAGCTGAGCCGGCAGGCCCCGGGGTGGACTCCCACGCTTCCTGCAACTGCTTGTCAACCACATCATCCTTTCCAAGACCGTGAGGGGCTGCGTCAGACTCTGTCCTCTCCCCAGCTCCCAGCACACTGCCCGACATAGGGTTCACACTCAAGCATATGATCAAATATAGAGTAATATCACTCCTACTTTTCAGTTGGGGACACTGGAGTTCAGGGAAGCGAAGAACACTGCCTAAGCTCACAGGGCTAGTGAGCGGACAACCAGACTCCGATCCGAGCCCAGCGCCTTCCCACGCCCCACGTTTGTGTGGGGGCTGCATGCGCTAGACCAGATGAAGCTATGGAGCTCTCTCTTTCATAAAGGGGGAGGAGCGGCTGATCCCTGGCAGAGCCTGGGGGGGGGGTACACTGAGTCAGGGACAGGACACCACACCACGGGGATGAGCGGACAGGCCCTCTCAGCCTCGGCCCCTCAGAGCTCTCTGCACCGGATGCCACTTACAAACACAAGAAAAGGAGTCTCCACTGTGTGAGCTCCAACCCCACCTTGGGTACGTACATGGGGAGGGCCGGGGGCAGTAAATAACGGGCTGCCTCTCTCCCCAGCCCCGGAAACACGTTTGCTCCCTCTTTCCAGCTCTATGTTCCCAACGGTGGTGGAGGTGGATATAAGGAGGGCTCACTATTACAAACAAAACCATACTGTCACCTTTTTCCCTATCAATCCACTTTGTCAAAAATGTAGCTCAAACCACAGCAGGCTGGAATCCAGGCAATCCCTGGCCCGCCTGTGGCCTATTAGTATTCTTGTTGCGTCCCGCAGCAGCACAACTGAAAGTTATCAGCAGGCAGACAGCCAGCTTTCAATCTCAAGAACTGCAGCCCCAGATCGCGGCGGCACTCACGCATTAGAGAAGATTTAGAGACCCTCACGCTCGCCCCCAGCGCTGAGCCTCTGTGCGGCATCTGACGGCCAGAGACCACAGACGCGTGGTGAGAAGAGAAAGAACGGGGCTTGCTTTGAAAACGTTATTTAAGAAATAATAATAACAGCCTTCAGGAGCAGATGCAAAATACTCCGTTCTAGATTGGGGCATTTTTTTCCTTCTGGCCAAGGTCCAAGCTTGAGGGGGCAGGGGGTGCTGCGTCCCCGCCCAGTCCCTTCCCACGGGCCCACCCGCTGGAGCAGAGGGTTCCCCGGAAAGAGGAGGAGACTTCGGCAGAATGGAAGGGAGGACAGAGGGACATTCTTCAGTGAACGCAAGGGGCCCCTTCCGTCTTCTCCTTTCTGTCTCCAGCTCCTAGCATGCAGCCTGACATAGCATTCACTCTCAGACATATGTTCAAACACAGAATGATATCACCCCCATTTCTCAGAGGAGAAAACTGAGGTTGAGGCAAACGAAGAACACTGCCCAAGCTCTCTTTACAGTGGGTTTTCCCCGGGTTTTCCATCCGGGGGCCAGCTTCACGGGGTCCAACCCGTGTAGGTACGCAAGCCCCACCCTCGGATGGCCCCACACTTTCAGGGTGGTCTGCCTTCACCGTCTTGAAGTGTTTAATACTTTTTACACGGGGGCCCACATTCTCATTTTGCGCTGTGCCCCACAAATTACGCAGCCAGTCCTGGCTCCGACTGTTTTAGGAAGGGGAGAGCACAAGATGTGGGCCAGCTCTGAAAGCTCTCGTGAGGACGTGGCTCTCGTCAAGAGCTAACTGTTGCCTGTTTATTGGAAAGCCACTAGGTCAGTTCACAGCTTGGCTTGTGGTGCCCGAGTCCCCCTCGATGTGTCTCACTGACCCGGGCTCCTTCCCTGGTGGAAATCCCAAGAGAGTCACAGTCAGTATAACATCTCTGCAGCAGGGACCAGCCCCCGCCTGCTGCCTCACGGGCAGCCCAGGGCGTGGGGTCAAACCCAGCCATGGAAAAGCAAGCACGGCTCCAGCTCCCAGGGGGGTTGGGGGCTGCCTCCAACGCAGAAGCACCAACACAGGCCACTGCCAAGGCCAGGGAGCGCGGGCAGCAGTTCGGCCCCCGCAGCAGCTGACGAGATCGGTGTGCAAGAAACCCCCAGCAGGAGGGGCAAAGAGCAGCTCACCTGGTTACCGCTCTCCCTGATGATCTCACCTTTGGCACCTCCTTCCTGGTCTCTATCTCGACACACCGGGTGAACTGTGCCACCTGGTGGAATTCAATGAAACCATCTGTGAGTTCTAGCGACAGCTATGGCCGTGGAGACCAGCTTTTCCAAGTGAATTAAGACATACAGGCTCGCAAGAAGAATACCTGAAACTGAGACTATTCTGGAAAATCTAGATGGATGGTCCCCACAGTTAGGGCAGCAGGTGTAATAGTGAAGGTGATCCTGGAACCCGACCTCCTGCCTATATGGGCTGACTGATGGGGCACCCAGGAGAAGGTCCTGATTTTTGTAGGGGTCGGAACACATCAAGGATAAGAAGTGTGGGTCTTGGTCACAGATGCGTCCCTAGCATCTCCCATAGCACCTGACACACAGGTCTCAACCTGGTTGCACTTTAGACTCAGCTGGGGAGTTCTTAAAGCTCCAGATGATGGGTCTAGGCCTAGGTATGTTTTAAAAGCTCCCAAATGAGCCTAATGCTCAACCCGAGTTCAGAAGCACTGGCCTAACATGTAGCAGGGACTCGATTAATATTTACTGAGTGGGTGAGTCCATAAATGGCACTTAAGACTATTCCAGCAAAGACGATACCGTCATCAATCAAAGTGTAAAGGGGGAATTCCTCGGCTGTGGCAGTTAAAAAACGATCATTACAGAGCCTGGTTTCTTCACTTAAAATAGCCCGCTTTATTAAATGGAGTCTGTTTCACGGGACGCTATCAGCTAACCACGTAACCAGCCTCTCTCCTTCTCCCCAAACGCTTCCGAGGGATCTCCCAGTTGCTGAGATGTACTTATTCCTCGCCCTGACTGGGTAGATAATGAAATACAGCCCAAATGGTATAATATTGCCCTGGAAAATGCCTAACTTGATTTTAGAGGGGAAAAAAAAAAAAAGAAAACCATCTTTGAGCATCTTGAAAAGCAATAAATCCCCAACCTATTCTCCAACTTCTGCTGGAGCATCCGTTTTTCTGGAGAAGAGTCTCCGGATAGACACGGTGGCCTTTTCTAGCCACCACAGTGCCATTGCATGACCCAGGGCAGTTGAATTCGTGCAGGAAATTCTGGTGTTTACCCAGAGGAAGACTTCAGCTGATGGAAAAATTGACAGGGAACCCAGAGAGTCTTTTCACAAAATCAAGGTTAGGGAAGAGAAATAAGAGGTCATCTCCAGCTGCTCTAAGCCTGGAGGCTGGACCCCAGGAAGGAGGACTCTCCAGTTATTCTGGGGGCACTGATTCTTAAGTAGGGTCCACAGCCAAACTGCAGTGGACTCCCACTCTCCTCCCTACATCCCCCCACAGAGGCTCAATGACAACACATGAGGTGGGTCCCAGTTCTACTGGTGATTCAGATGCCCAGGGTTGGGAGCCCCTCACTGCTCTTAATGATGTGTGGCCGTGACCCGAGCTCTCCTGTGAATTAATTAAGAGTTGAGGACAGGCTCCTCCGGTCACGTGCTCTATCCACCTCTAGCTGGAAGCTCAATGCCCATCTCAGAATCAGCAGCTGATTACCGCGGGATCACAGTCAACTCCTGGCCATGCTGGCTGGGCCCTTCCTGACCTGCCTGTGACATCGGGCTCTCTCCCCAGTGTGGAGCTGCCACAGGCTGACCTCGAGTGGACACACAGCAGGCTGCTCACCTCGCTTGGCTATTTCAATAGCAGTCGCTCTTCCAATGCCACTGTTCCCTCAAGTGACCCAGAAGGCTATTCCAGGAATTTGGACCTCGAAGCCCTCAGGCACAAAGTCCTTAGCCGCTGGTTCACAGCCACTCCTGGAAACAGCAAGCCCAGAGAAAGAAGGACTATAAGGAGCCAGGAAAAGAAACCCCTGCAGGGAGAAAGCCTCGTTGTGAGGTGGGCATGATCGCTCTCTCTAGCATATCACATAGCTCCTTCCTTCCTCGCCTCCCTGTTTCCTTCCCTGGTCTCAGGAACAATGCTGCCCTCTCAGACTTTACATTTCCTCATCACTGGCTTCCTGAACTTTCAAAAATATTTGGAGACCCTAACAATCTGGCATCCAAATCAGCTTTCTCTGACTGCCTCTGAGACCAGAAGTGCCCCCCTCCAAAAAACAAAAAAAAAATCCTCTGATAGATGGATTATTTTCCGTTTTTCCAATTTTGAGGGGAAAAGAGGAGGAGCGTAGGAGACCATTAGCATCATGCCTGTTGTGTGGCAGGACAGGTGTCCCTACTTAGCTACAGAAGGATGGGTGAGGTGGGGGAGATTTGCAAGTACAGAATGAAGCTAGAGGAAGGTCGTTATTTGAGCTCGCACCGCCTCGGAGAAAGCAAAGGCTCCTTCAGGGCTACAGGGCGTGTGCTGCGGAACTCTAGGGGGCGCCGTCCAGATCACAGTGATGGGAGATTTGTATCTGCGTTAGAGCAACTTCTTCGCAGATGGCAGCAAAGCGCGCCGAGGAGGTGCTTGAGGAGGTGCTTTTCCTCATTTGCACGAAAGGATCACACCGCATAAAAGTAACCCTGAGTTCCTTAACTGTTTCTCTCTGCCTTTTGAGATACCTCTTCTACCTTTGCTTTCCTAGGTTTGGCCTGGAGGGGGATTAGCAGGAGGAGGACCTGAGGGCAGAGCCCTCCCCCCACACAGGCAGGCTGGGGTCTCAGAGCTTGCAACTCTCACCCAAAGAGCCCAGTGATTTCTCCTGCTCTGCAGCAGAGAACGGGACTCTTTCCCCTGAAGATTCTACGCAAAGCCCAGCGCCCTCCCACACACGGTGTTTACACACAGACTGCCAACAGCTGGTCTCCCTGGTATAGCACAATTGCCAACTACAAGCCAGGACACTGGAGAGGAGGCCAAAGAATGTTTATCAGCCTGGGTTAGGTTTGGAAGTCCTTGCCACAGGGGCAGTCATGGCCCCTTGTCTCACAGCCAAAAGACCAGGAAGAATGTTCCCGTTCCCACCATCTGTAACTCACTTGAATGTCCAGGGCAGCTCAGAGAACACCCTTCCCACTGCTTCTGCTGCTAGCGGCACAGTGGGGTGAGCAAGACTTCTGACTCTTCCAAAGCTTCCTGCGAGGCTGACTTGAAGCTAAAAAGAATTAATAATAAGGGCTTTGGATCAAACAACCTGGGTTTCAATCACAGCTCTCCTTCTTAATAGCTGTGCGATCTCATGTGTTGACTTAACCTTTCTGGGCTCCTGTCTCCTCTTCTGCAGAAAGGGGATAATAAAAGCTAACTATTGGGCAGCCTGGATAAGATGATGTATGTAAGGCATTTTCTTACCACACTTGGAATAAATTAAGAGTTCAATACACAGCAGTTGCTATGTTACTATTATTCATAATGACATCAATACTCTCCATGTTCAAAACTGAGTTCCTCATTTGCCCCCACCCCCATCCCAGCCCTCCAAATCATTAGGGACTTTGAGAGCATTTTAAACTATAACCAAAGATAAAGCTGTAAGATTTGTTTTCTCTGATAATTGTTGGCGGGCAGGGGGGTGGGGTAGGGTCACTATGAAAGGATTTTCTTGCAGAAGCAAATGATTCCTCAAGAAGGGGCTAAGGGCCTTCTTCTAGGCTAAAGGGTCCTAGCCAGGAGAAAAAGTACTGGTGGGGAGCGAGTGAGACTTTCCCAAACCACAGGAGAGCCAGAAGTGCAGGCCACAGAGAACATACCGGGAAACCAGGAACCGCCCCAAAGATCCCCTCCTCCAGGGGCAGGAAGCTGAGGCTTTCCTCTGTGACACCTAGAGGAGACCTTAGCCTCCGGAAGATTATGTTGATCCTATTAAACACTAAGGCTTGCTGACGACAGCTCCTGTGGATTAAATCTCTTCCTCAAACTCCAGGCTGTGAGCCCTTCCAAGAGGGCGGGGCCAGGCTGGCCTGCTGGGCCTGTCACACTCTCCTTCTGTCCTTTGCCTTGGCTCTTTGACTTCATTGCGGGATCCTGTCCTCAGCCAATCTGTTGTGAACAATGAGATTTGGCTGGGTTTTTTTTTTTTTTTTTTTTGTATCCCCCTGCCCTCTTTTGGGAAAGTATTTTATGTTCACAAACTCTTGATATCAGTCCCTATTTTTCAGTGTGAAGAGAAATAAATGACTTGCCTAAGGTCACAAAATGGTAGGTGATAAAGCCAAAGGAGGGTTTCCATTCTTTCAACACCCCAACCTGGAGCACCTTCTACTGAACCAGTGAGGCTCAAAGGGTGCTCCCCAGACAGGTGGCATCAGCATCACCTGAGAACCTGTTAGAAATGCGTTGTCTACTGAGTCCACGGTTCAAAATGGGGCCCAGCCATCTAGGGTCACATGCCCTCCGCGTGATTTTGATTCAAGCTGAGCAACCACTGTGCTTGTGTTTCGGAACCTCTGAAGATAGGAATCACCAGGGGGCAAGCTCCCAGGCATCAGTTTCCCCCAATTTACCCAATAGGGAATTTGCATATGCAAATTGTAGCCCTCATCTATACCTGTCAGGGGCTTAGGGGTCAGGGGCTTAGGGGTCAGGGTTTGTTTGTTTTCTTTTTAATTGTCCCAGGTAATTGTCAGGTTCAGGCAAGTTTAGGGAACAGTGACTTGATGCTGTTGCATAGGTGAGCAATATAGGGGAACTTCGTAAAAATCATGGTGTGCCAAGAAAAAGCATTACAAACCCAAACTACAGACCCTCATATGGGGATGAAAATATTAGGAGTTGTCTTTCCCTCCCCCATCCACCCCCACCCCCATGTAAGAGTTCGGGGAGAGACTTTCAGAAGCCTGCTTTCCCATGGCGAGAAGCTAACCCAAGCTCTCCAGGCTGCTGTGTAACATGGAAAGACCCAGCGAATAGTGGCCACCGCCACTATTTGAAAGAGAGAGGTTGCCATTTGCCAAAATCCAGTGGAGCTGGGCTGACAGCTCCGCTTCCCACCACTCTCTGCAGCCCTGGCTCCTGAGAAAAACATGCACTTTCCCCGAAAGGATGGGGTGTGGGGGAGGAGAGAAGTCAGCAGCAGCATGCTGCCTCCCCTTGGAACACGGAAATTTGCCGGCCTGCCTTAGGAACTCATAAAAACCCTAGTGCATGGAGAAGAGGAGGTCCCTTAGATAACTGGGCGGCATGAGAATCACCTGGAGGATATTTATAAAATGTCAGTCTAGGCCCCAGTGCAGGGCAACCGAACTGGAATCTCTAGGGGCAGGGCCTGACGCTGGTATTTTAGATTCTTGCCCTATTATTCGGCCAGGATTGAGAACCACCGCGTTTCTCTAATTAATTCTAAGATAAAAAACCACCTCTCTGTCCCCCGGAACGGGCCGCCTCTTAAAACCACAAGGTGGAGAGCCGGCTAGGGTACAGCGAGAGTGACCACCAGGCCAGTGAAACCGTCGAACGCCGTTCACAAAACTCACACTGGGTGCACGGCGGACACCCGCCCCGAAACCGGCGTTCGGAAAGTTCCAGCAGGAGCGAGAGGTCACAGTCCACAAGCTGCGTTTTATCGGTGAGCAAAAACACACGACTCGGGAAAGTTCTAAGCCGGAGTCCTCACCAGCGATTTAGGGCGCGCCCCGCCCGGGGCCGAAAGCAGCCCCGCGCGGCTACCCGAGCACGCCCTGCAGGGCGCCAAGGTGACGCCCAGGGGACTCCGGGGCGCGCGGGCCGCCTGACGTCAGTGGATCCGGGCCCCGGCGCGGCAGAGCCCCGCCCCTCGGGGCTGGACCCCGCCCGCCGGGCGGCACGCCTGCGGAGGGCCCCTGTCACTCAGTCGGCCCAGTGGGATCGCGGAGTCGCGGGCGCGTCCCCGCTCGCCCGCGCCGAGGCGGGCCACGTGACTGCCAGCGGCCCCGCCCACCCGGCCGCCCGGGCCGTCTTACTTGGTGTATTCGCGCAGCCCTGTGGCCAGCCTCGCGGCGCTGCGGTGGACGGACGTGGTAGGTCCCGCGCTCCCGGTGTCCCCGCCCTCCGGAGCCGCCGGCGGTTACGTCATTCCAGTTATGTAAAAGCCGCGGGCTCTTCTCCACTGGGAACGCGGCGGAGTCTTCTGGTCCGCCCTGCCTCTCTGTACGGCTTTGTGCAGAGCGCCCACTCAGCCCCAGCCTCAGAGGGCAGGGAGAGGGGGGGAGGGCCCTGCTGCGGGCGGCACTGAGGGTCACACGGTCAACTCGGGGTTGAAACCGGGCGTCACTTGGGGCGTCATCTGGGGAACACCTGTCTGCTGGGTATGTCTGGGATGCAAAGATGGCTGGTAGAATTTGCTTACCCAGAAAATCATGTGGAATAAAAAGATAAGGCGTAATGATATTAACAAGATTTCTCCATCCGATGAGTTTTATCACAGCATTTTCCAAGTTCCTACGTATCTTATTTCATGTAATGGCCCGAGTAATTTAGCCAAGATAGAAGAACCCCCTTCCCCAGCAGGTGCAAGGAGTCAGGTTGGTAACATGAACACAGTGACAGCTGGCAAGAGGCAGGGCTGTGTCTCCCACCGGAGAGGTCAGTCTCTTCGAAGTCTGAACTTTTGCCACCAGTTCAGCAACCTCATGCAATGCCAAGGAGGTCCCCTTGATCTCCTCCAAATCTCCATCAGCCTTCCCCCGGACCCCCCAAAACCCCAGAAAACATACAGTGTAAGTTAAAGCATGGTTGTGTGCCAATCTAGATCCCAGTGAAGTCATCCAGCCTCCTCCTGGGCCCTGTTGTGTAGGAATCAGACATCCCAGTCTATATCTGACCTCCATCCCTAATTGAGGGGTGGGTCACTCAGTTAAATTCTGTACTGGGTTACCCAATTCGCCCAGAGACTGAGCCACTCTTACGTAAGATGTACAGACCAGCTGGTTTAATGGCCTCGTTACCTAGGATGTAAGGTATAGGATCACTGCCCTCCACCCCCAGCAAGCGGATGTGGTTTTACTTAAGAATAACTTTGGAAATAAGTTTCTCCAGAACAGTTTGTTCGTCTGAACAGGACTGTGAAGTTCCACTGCATTGCTCTTATTCCTGACAGAGTGATGAAAGGGAGTTTAAGCAAGTGGCATTCTGGAAAACCACCCAGCCTGGTGTGACTTTCAATACCGGTCTGGTTTGGCTGGGAGAATATTTTAGAGTCCCAGAGTTACGCAACTGTGCTTTGTATACTCTGCTTTGTGGCAGTGATAGAAAAGGTGTCTGTCTGCCCTGAATCCCTCTACCACCTCAGGAAATAGGCTTTTGGCTCACAGAGGGGGTGAGAAGTTGTTTTGAACCACAAAGTCTATTGAGGGCCTCAGCAGCACCTTGAAGTAAAAGGATGGGTGAAAACCCAGCTGTTACCCTGGCGTGTGGTCCTGGGCGTGCTGCGTGACCGCTCAGTCTTGGTTCTCTGATTTGTAGAATGGGAATGAATATGCTCACCTCGTGAGATGGCGGTGATGATCAGACACTTTTGTAAAGAGACTAGCGAAATGCCTGGTTTCATCCGAAGGGATCAAAAAATGTTCACTTCCCTCAACTTTTCTTTGCATTCCTTTCTCCCTTTACATTATAGCCATGCCGTGTACGTTCAGTCGATGGTCCATGAGTGCACGAAGCATATAATGTTTATCCTTAAATCAACACCTATCCACGGGGTAGCTAGTGTGTGCATTACACTCACTTCTTAGGAGGTTTTTAAGAAAAGATAAGCCCCATTTTAGAAGGGCCTTCCACTCTCCCCTGGATGACAGGGAATATGTACACAAAAAGACAAAGGACAGGGAAGGATTAATGGGAAAAGGCTCCCGTTTAAGTAGGAGTTAGCTGAGCTGGATTTTAGTCCTATTTCTGACTCCCAAGGTTACCTGGGTAACAATGATAAAATTTATTGGGGGCTTAATATATGCCAAGCATTGTGGATTATCTCACTTAATCCTTACAATGACCTAGTAAAGTTGCTTTTGATATTATCCCCATTTTGCAGATGAGCAGACTGAGACTTAAAGGGGTAAGTCACTTAGCTGAAGTCAGAGCATCCATCCTGGATCCATACTATATGGTGGCAAGTCACTTAACCTCTCTAGGCCTCCGTTTTCTCATCCAAATGAAAGGGGCAATCAGATGACATGTGAGACCCCTTCTAGCTCTCACTTTCTTTAATAAGAGAAATACATAAAAAATTTAAATAAGGTAGGCCCAACGTGCTTTTAAGAGTGACATGAAGTGGGGATAGCTGCTTTATTTCATGTGGTTGAAAGACCCTAAAATATTTCTTATGTGTCCTTGCTCTCAATTTGCCACCCAATAAGCCAAACAAAGAAATCCTCCTCCAGTTGATTTAGAGTCCTGAAGCTAATTTTGACCAAATTGGAAGGAGAAGCAGAAGGTGTGGCCTAAGAAATCCATGGCTTCCCACACAACAGATATACGTGATGGGAAGTCTGCACACACACACACACACACACACACACACACACACACACACACCGGTGCTCACATCATCTTCCACGAAGCTCAGTACCAGTTTCTCCAGCCCAGTTGTCATGGCAACACCAGCTGCCAATGAGATCATGGAAGACAAGGTTATAATGGCAGTGGTGCTTAATATTTTACCTGGCAATCTCACTTAGATAATAAGATGAATAACCATAAATCATAAATCCATAGGAAGCCCAGGCACTGCTCTTTGTATGTGTTTAATGTGCACTTGCCGGTGGGGAAGAGAAATGAAGGCAAAGGGAAAGGAATGGAAAGGAAGGGAGGGTGAGGCAGGGGGTGGGGAAGAAGATCTCTGATGCTGATCCCCGTTACTCTGCAGTGTAGGTAGGTCATGCACGGGTCCTGAACCTGTTTGTGCATGGATTAAAGGACTGGTCTCTTCTGCAATGACAGCAAGGGGTTAGGGGCTCCCAGCCCTAATCACAGAAGTCTGATTACAAGAAACCCAAGGCAACTGTTTTCTGGGGTTCACACCAATGGAGGAGAGAAGCAGCCCAGGCAAGATGTACGTGGCAGACGATGACCCTGCCCTGCAGCAGCTCACACAGTCACCCAGCAGGAGGCTGGACCCCGTTTAGAAGTACCTTGCTGGTTGCCTCCCCAGTCCCTTGATGCCCACTGGCTTTTACAGACTGGTCCACTCCAGGGCTGTCTGCTGTCCATCTGACCCAACTTCCTAAAGAGCAAATCCATTTGATTTGAGGGTTTCCTTCCTTTCACAGGAAACTGATCACAGTGGGGATCTCTAGTAAGAGCTTCAGCACTGGGGAGCAGGGGTAGGAGAGAGACTCAGTTTACACTGAATACCCTTGGAGAGTGTGAATTTTGTATTACGGGCATGAATCACCCAGTCAAATAAAGGACACGCCAAGGTCCACTTGCTTCCCTTGTCCGCCTACCAGGGACTAGACGTGGTGGCAAGAAGGGCCAAGGGCAGGGCAGTCTCCATGTAATGAAGCTGATGAAGGAAATGATTTCCCACCAGTGGACTTGTGTTGATCTGAAACTCTCATGCAGTCTGTTTCTAGGGCTTTAGTTGTATGACAAACAGGTTCCATTCCCAGTGCAAAGGCAGTTTGGGGCTCAGGGGTGGGAGTGGAATAAGAGCCTGGAGGATGTCAGAGAGGTTGTTGTAGCTGGCCCTCACCTACTGGCCTGTACCACCTGGTTCCTCCCACTGGCTCAGGAGAAGGGCCACCAGTAGGGCAGGGAGAGGCCACAGACATAGAGTGCCAGGAACAGGGATCAAAAGTCAGAAGACTCACATTGAGCCCTGACACCTCTTCAGAGGAGACACTTGACCTCCCTGAGCCTCAGTTTCCCCTCTACGCAGCAGTGTAAGTGTCCAGTCCTTACGGCACAGTAGTGAGGATGAAATAAAAACATTTCTTCTTGTGGCTGCCTGGGTGGCTCAGTGGGTTAAGCGTCTGAGTTTTGATTTTGGCTCAGGTCAGGATCTCAGAGTCATGAGATTGAGCCCTGCGTCAGGCTCTGTGCTGATAGCGTGGAGCCTGCTTGGGATTCTTTCTCTTTGCCCCTCCCCTGCTTTCTCTCTCAAAATAAATAAACTTTAAAAAAAAAAAAACAAAAAACCTTTCCTCTTATTTAACAAATATTCATACTCTACTTGCTATGTGCCAAGCTCTGTTCTAAGTTCATTTCATATGAGACTGAAGGAGGCTCTGTGCTGACAGCTCGGGAGCCTGTTTAGGATTCTCTCTCTCCCTCGATCTCTGACCCTCCCTTGCTTGTGCATACTGTTTGTCTCTCAAATTAAAAAAATTGTATTAATGAGACTGAAGCATAGAGAATTTCAGTAGTGTGTCCAAGATCACACCAGAATCTAGAACGTAGCACAACCAGGATTCCAACCGGACAGTCTGGGTCCAGACTCCACACACTTAACCCTTTTTCTGTAAGGATGGGACACCTCTCCTAGTGGCTTCTACTCAGTTTCTTCTTTTAGTCACTTCTGGGGGGCTGGAAACTTCTGCTCCTATCTCCTGACCTTTTTGTGGTCGGTTGATTGGCTCCTGTGTTCGAATGGGTGGCTTCTAGTTCCCCGCT